CAGCATCAGAAGACTTCTGCCCGACCCTCAAGCAGATGCTTGGCATTTTGCGGGAGCGAACAAAAAGAGAGGACGACATTGAAAACGCTTTGCCTGAACAAGGGACTTCTGCCTCGTCGCATGCTTGGTCCTTTCGATCATTATGGGGCTTGCCCACCTTGGCACAACAACTGTGGAAGAGCGATTGGGCCGAAGGCCGTGATTGCGCCCCCTGGGATTGCACCTTGGCGGAGCGAGCCAGGTGTGAGCAGCGTGAAGTTGGCTGGCTCCTCGCTAGCCACCAAAGCACTCAAGATCTGGCTTCGCAGCTGCCAGACTGCTGGTTCCGCAGTTATGCAGCGGTGAGTTTTAATGTATTAGGCTTGCGGTATCTTCCTATTGATGTCGTTGGCGTCTGCGTCTTTGCCACGAAACGCAGTATATGACGGAGCCTTACCCCTCCTCAAGTTACCCTTCAGGGGCGCCTCGTCACCGCCCATCATCTGTCTTCAACACATCTCTCTCGGCAGCAATCTTTAACATCACCTCGAAGCAGATCGGAGCCTTTGATTACCACAATGCGCGACCATCTCGGCTCTTCGGACAATCGCATGTGCCGTCAAGAAGCAGGCTCGATGCGGAAAGCGGCTCGACTAGGGGGTCTACCTCCCAAGAAGGTGCCAAGAAGGATGAGCAGGGCAGCGAACTTCGTGTGGAAGCGTCTGAAGCGCGTAACTGCGCCGACACCCCTACAAATCCAGCGCACAGAACGGATGAGGGGGAGGAAGAGGAAGGGGACTGGTACGCAAACGACGGAGTCGTGCCTCTCGCTTCGCAGTATCATCCTGGCATGTGCGGCGCAAACACCTGCGCGCACTACCAAAGTCTACCCAGTCCGCACCTGAATCCCGCTTCCAAGCTTGACGCTGTCGTTGCAGATGCTCAACGCCGGCCAGCCCTTGCACGACTGATGAGCGCTGGTGATGCAGCTTGGCGACAGGTGCGGGGCACGAACGCGGACACCAACGGACGGGCTTCTCGGCTTTCCAGCGTCGTCGATCCAACGTGCTCTGCCTTGCCAGTCGGAGGGTCGGACATGAGCACAGTGCCGAACCGGTGGCATGTATACACGCTCAAGGATGCCACTCACGCCAGTCTCTGTCCGATCTGGAATGGCGATGCGCGACAAAGACACTTTTGGAGAGGTCTGGGTGCATGGCTGGCCGATGTAGATGCGATCGTCGCGCAGAAGAGCTGAGTCGGATTTCGAGTTGGAGTTGAGGTTCGAAGCAATTCTCGTTCAGCCTTTCCCACGCGCGCTCCAACCTCGCGATGGTTCAATCATCCGCGCTCGTGCTCAAAGATGCAACTCGAATTGCTCCACATATAGTATACCCTTGATACCCTGTGCACTACACTACACTACCTCTTCGAATCGAAGGATCCCTTGCATGTGAATATCAAAATGGATGTGGAACGCGTCTGCTCACCAATTGGATATCATCTCGACTGCATGGGCTCGGCCATATGTGCCTGATCATGAGGCGTGGATTCTACGCTACGCTGTGATTCGGTCAAACGCCGTCGTGGTTGGTCTGTGCATCCGAATTATTCACGGCGGAGTCGAGGATTGGAGGCGCTTACACAGTAAGTAGTAACGAAGGTCGCTTCTACGTAAGTCGTGCTCTTCGGAGCCGTGGTTCTGAAGGCGGAGCGCGAAGCGCAGCAGAGGGGAACAGCAGCTGAGATTAGATCGTATCGTAGTCCCAAAGCCTAGAACCCCGACCAAGTTGGCACGGACTCGCTCATTACATCGCGACGACGCGGAATGTGGGTGCTGGGATTCGGAGTTGATGACTGAGTCCAGATGTCTTGCACATGCCTGCAGCTTGTGAGTGCAAGCGCGTAGAAGCCGGGGCCCCCTGCGTCGGAAGACTTCGGAGAAGCGGATGTGTGATGTTCAAGATTCTATGCGGGTGCCCTTGCAGGGTGAGCGCGATGCGATCTACGTGTACAGTAACGTGATGGCTTCGTTGGTCCAGGGCAACGGCAACGAGCTGACCAATCAATCTACAAGTCAGAAGCGCTAGCTATGCGCTCAGGAGCACTGAGCGGTGCCGACGTGAGCCGATAAGAACATGAAAAGCAATCTGCTCTTGAACCCTTCCAGCCAGCCCCTGACAGCGGCGAGTCTTCAGTGCGAGAATGCAAGAGTGCGTGATGACTCGC